ATGTATGTATGTATGTATGTATGTATGTATGTATGTATGTATGTATGTATGTATGTATGTATGTATGCAATAAATCTTCTACTTTTCAGGCAATGAGAGTCCGAGTCATTTACGACATTAAATGGCTCTACGAGAAAGCTAATCTGCTGTAGGAATTTGCTTGTAGTGAGTTCACCTGCTTTGCACATTTTGGAAATGATGCGATGCTAGAGCTGACGCCTTTCTATGTTTTGGGGCCTTTTTATATTTACGCGCTGTTTTGGTTGTGGGTGACAACATCAAGGTGATGTATCGATGCTTCCTTCGACCATTTTTTTGTCTTCCGTCGAGAAGGAGGCCCGAATAAAAATATGCTGTCCTCATGAAAAAACGGCTGACTCAGTCACGTTTTTGTGCAATTTATGAATGTGCAATTTGGCCGGCTTCGGATCCGTCTGGCTGGAATAAAGAAACTGGTGGAAGGGATGATATATTTGCTCCATTTCCAATGACGTCTTGACGAATTGAAGCAGTAGAGCGTCTGCCAGTCTGATTCCCCCAGTTATCTTCCTCAAGGAAAAGCCAATTAACGAATGGTTGTCAGGCAGTATCTACATTGGCAATTTCGGCGAACAAAACAATGCTGCCAAGTCGCCATTGTGCACTTAATTGTCGCAACGATGTACCCGTCTCGATTGAATTTGATATTGGATCCATGGTTATCGTGTTTATATCAAAATGATGCTTGCTTTTGCACTTAAACTTCGTTTCACTGTGCCATCAGCTCCCACAGCAGGACTCGAACCGTGATCTTGGGATTGGGAATCCACATCTGATTAGCATATCGAGTTTGGGGACGAAATGACGGTTGCCTATCAAATACAATTACCTCCATATGATGTGGTTAGTTGTTGAAAGTTATACTGGAGTAGTGGCTAGGGTCGTGTGTGTTTTGTAGTATGTCAATGGTTTGAGTACCGCTGGAGGTGTTGCTGAGCAAATGAGACGAGGTCAGTTGGTTGCATGATGGATTTGACCTTAACCTCACTGAAACGCTCACTCTGTCGCTTTCAGTCACCGTAGGCAGTATTGATACGAGGACGACACGGAAATCTGTCGAGAAGGTTGATTAGTCAACTGAATCAGAAGATGAAGCCAGATTCACGTTGTTCTACATCCGTCTGCCTCCAATACGACGCTGTGGTTGACGTTTCAGGTGAAGCCGAGTTATGCTTTTCTCCGTCATTGGACGGGAATAAGTAGAGCTGGAACTCATTTCTGTCGAAGCTTCAAGTCAATACTAAGCAAAGAGGATAATTTCGTGGACTGCTTCAATCTAAACAGCGTATTATGATCAAACAGGTGCAGAACAACGGAAATCAGGCGTCGTCTTCCAGTGAGATCAACCAACGGATCCCTTAATCAGCTCAAGAGATTCCTCGAAATTCAGCTATTCCTCGCATCTACACTTGAGTTGATTGAAGAACTGATAATGAAATTTTTCCACCAATGAACTAAGCAAACATTACGATGACTTTGAGTTTCATTTCACCTAAGCCTTATTAGCAGCCCTAACGAAATTCAAAGCCAGATATTGTGCCTAAAGCAAAAACACATCACAATTCCACCATAGGTTTACTGGTGTCAGTGGTCAACGGGCCTCTCGCTAAGTAAAGTTATAGAAAAGCAATATTAACCCTATTTCCTTTAAAGGGAATGAAGGATTTGTAGTTTAATTTTCTCACAATGACACAAGTTAACCTAACGTTTCCATTGAATTGCACATAGCCTTGCCTCCAAAAAGGTGGGCTACAGCTTTGATCCTGCCTAGATCCAGACAGCAGCACAGGCAGGATTCGAGTCCGAGTAATGCAGTGTATAGTTTCAAAACGTTGATCCTAAACTGAACAGGTTGAGTTCAGCTGTTACATCAGATCTACTGACAGGCTCGAAAGTCTTTTTATGAAACGAAAAATTAGTATGTAGTCGTCTGCTATGGCAAATACAACTTTGCTTCGAAGGTATGAAGACCAAGATGGTGTAGCCTTTTATGTGGTCGCAACTTTGCTTCGTCGTCAATCCTACCACGGAAATGTGATACGGAAAAAGCCTAGGCTTTATTGAAACTCCCTTTTGCCTTATGACCCATTTTTATGTAATGGCCAGTGTTTTGGGACGGTAAGCTGGACTGCCCCGGTTCGAGTCCCATTTGCGGATGCGTTGAGACATAGAATAGGTCGAAGTGGCAGTCAACCTTATGGTAAGCCAAGCTACGTGAAATTCATTAGAAACATTAGGCTTATTCACATGAACGTGGAGAAATTCAACAGCCAGTCCTTCATCGTCTTAAACGAAATAGGGTAGATACAACATTCATTTAAGATATACTTAAAAACTGATTTATAAGGACCTTTACTTGCATTTTCCCACAATGATATGAGTGGACATAACGTTTCTATTGCATTTCACTTAGCTTTCCTTCCCAAAAGTTATTTTATCCAGGGTGGACGGCAATTTCGACCTCTCCTAGGTCTTATCAACACACCCAGCAGGACTCGAGCCGTAAGCTTGCTGTGTATGCTCTCGACACGTTAACCACTGTGCTACATTTTCATAAGTATCCTTGGGTTGCAAGACAGATGTGAATTTCAATGAAGCTCAGGCATTTTTCGATATCACATTCTTTGGTGGGATTGTCGATGGCGCAAAATTATATTTGCTATAGCAATCGACGACAATACTTATAGTTCGTTTTTTGCGTAGGTTCACTCCATCTCAGTCCTTAACGAAATAGAGTGAACACAGCTCATATTACTGATTTACTAGTAATCTCGAAAATCTCAGAAACGAAATATTTTTGCGTTGTCGATTTGGCGAGCCTACATTTGTTGTACTAATAGGCGGTCTTACTCATTCATTATAAGTATGCTTCGAAGCATTCCATGCTTAGTGAATAATTATCCTATTTCGCCTATTATGAGTTAAGGATTGATAGTTGATAGGAAAGATCTCATTTTTGGATGAGAATTACGTATTCTTAACACAGTAGGCCTCACAATACCATTTCGATTTGATTAGCTAAAAAAAGGATACACTTTTGTCAACACTCGTCTCCAGATAGCTTTGAGGCTGGCTTTCATGTTTTGCAAGTCAGACGTCCTGCTTCCTGCGGACCGCATACCAGATCGGCTCTTGTAACTGCCAAGCGAGGCCTAGAATGGGACTCGGTCCTACCGTTCATGGGGCCACACCTGACCCCGTCACCTCCCCGTCCACTCTAGCTCTCATCTATTGCTGGCTTATGGCCAAATTCTGTTCAGAGGGCCTCGGGCCTTTGAGCTGTTTGTTATGGACCCTCTCAATGAGAACATCGGACCGACAGGTCAACTCAGCAGATTTGGTAGAGACAGGCATGTATGGCACGAATTGTGCGTCTGTGTCTGGAGGGCCAGCCGATAGAGGTGGCCGGAAACCTACAGCTCGGTATTCTAATCTTAACAGGCTCATATTATTTATCTGTCGAAGAAGGACGTGGGCCGGTAGCTTGTGTACCTTCGCATACAGAGCAATTGGAATTGTGCAAATAAAACACTCCTTCGTGACCCACGTTACGTCGTGCTGCCTCGGAGCAGGCCAATTTCTGTACCAGAACACCTTAACGAATTACTTTCCATCTATTTTAATTATCCGCCCGCATTAATTATTGCACTGTATGCCGAAATTGATATTATAGTCCATTTTTTCACCTTTTCAAGTGCAGATCTGATCAGGCCTAAGTCATAAAGTAGAGCTTTATTTATCACAATCTATCTCAGGTGATACAAGGGCCAATAATTAACAATACAGTTGTATTCTACTAAGCCTCGCTTCTCAAAATATTTTTACATCCAGAAGATAAGTGTAATAAATTTAACATTAGCGACCCGCGACGAATTGCGTTACCGCTTAAGATCCATTGCTATTCGAAGAGCCTACTATCTAACTTAGTAGTAATATCGTCGACTGCGGTAAAAGATTCAAGTTTGAATGATTGACGTCAGTTCAAGCCTAAAGTTGTAAACTTTGAGGTGCCCGAATTGACATGAGACTCACATACGCCCTATTCCTCACTTATGCTCGTGGCTGTGTGACTCTAAGTTTGGAACCTTTTGGTGACTTTGGTGACTATGAAGCAAAGACGAAACTGGATTCTATCCTGAATGAGAGGATCTGTCGCTAAGCCTGGGAAAGAGAAGTGTAATTGCATTAGAAAGACCACTCAGTTGTCTGATGTACTTACAGCTAAAAGTCTTTGCAACATCATAACTGCCCTACGGTGTGTCTGGTGCTTAATAAAAACTGTATTTTCAGCATTTAATCTTGATGATTAAACCTCTTTTATTAGCATGGGCTCAATTGTTTTTTTTGCTATTATCGTGGGCAAATGCAACTACCAGCCTTTCTTGGCCTAAAACGAAATATGGTAAAAACAGCTCATATATTTGATTTACTGAAAGTCTCGAAAACTCACTCACTCACTAACTAAAAATGGTTTTTACTCTCAAACTTCAGAAATGGCGTATAAGTCTAATTTAAAATCAAAATAAATGAGTGTTATGATAAAGGTTGGATAGAATTTTTTCTAAGATTCATTAAAGGGTCACAAAGCCAGGCCTCACCAGTATTTCTGATTTTTGGTTATTATGAGAAGTCGTTATCAAATGCAGTCGAGGGTTTCACGGTTGAATGTGTAGCCATCAAGCAATTTGACACAGGCGGCTAGAACCGTTTACTTTTGGTGATCTGGAAGAACCAATTTATAAACTAGCTTGCTCAGGATAAGTAAATGTAAAGGATGCATGAGCTGGGCGATGAGGGAAGTAGCCAACAAAATCTTCGTAATTCTCACTAAAATTCCAAAATCTGCTTATATGAAGTAGATAGGATTATAACGGGCCACATTTGCCGGATATGTGTTTGATAAATTTTATTAGAAAATGTTTTCATGCCGAAGTTTATCACATCTGGGCCGAACATAACCGGACAACTTTGATTGCTTGGTAGGGGCGATCCAGATGAAGGCATCTTGTTTGGAGCCCTCTGTCATAGTAACCATGGTTATTTACAGTGTCGGACTGTGTACCTGGTACATCGTCGGACGTTTCTTCGGCGTAGTCACTGAACCAGCGGTACCATTATTAGCAGCAAAGTGCAACTTGTCCCAACGACAAGTTGAATCCATCCTTTGATCAACTTTCTGTTGAACAATTGTGGTATCCCTGCTGTCCGGGTACAATAATCTATCTCATATCGCTGTATCTCCCTCAATAGCAGGACTTTTAGATAGTTAAGGCTGCGCTACTCCAGAAGGCCTCCTTTCGACTTTTATCAAGTACCGGAAATGGCTCTTAACCTCATCCAACTCCCACCAGAGTCTGCTTGGTGCTTTCAATGATTCCTTCCTTGTTTCTCTGGTACGCTGATTTATCTCTGCCTCTGCTCCCGTTAATGCTATTTCCCATTAACTTAAAGCATTTGACAACGCGGCTTCTGTAGCCCAACAGGGCAGGCTTTCTGGTAGACTCACTTGGAAGTCTATCAGTGTGCTTTTCATCACAGTTGGGCATTTGTACCGGATTGGTGAATCGTCTGGTCAGGCTTTGACTCCACCGAACACCTCTACCTGATGAAGCTGGGAGCTTGAGTGTCTGGTCATTCTAACCCTAATTTCCCATTTGTGTGATGTTTTTGACTCACATATTCTCTGTTCCCGATTGCTGTATCTGACAGTAGGATAGGGGATATAAGCATTTATCGAATACAAAGTAAGTAACCAACAATTATGATTAGCGAAATAAGTTCAACTAAAATGAATTGAGGAATAGACAGACTATGAGAAAGCAATTGTTGAGCTTAGCTCCATTTCGAGAGAAAGTGTTGGGTGAAGAGATTCGAAGGTCGGTTGCAACAGAAGACGACGGCGGATTCCACTTGG